TCTTAGACAAAATCTTTGCTAAATTGGCTTTTGTATATGTAACGTATCACCATACGCTTTGTAACCATGTAATTTCCAAAGAAGAGTGATTGAGATAGTAGCTGAATTTTCATCCCCTATAGGGAGAATTAAAGCCACTTCTTGAAAAAAAAATCAGAAGATGAATCCTGCAAGATTGAAACGACGGGCCACACCATTCTCGGCTCTTGACCAATTATAAACTACACTAACAGACAGTGTATCTCTCTTTTTTAAGCTCTTCAATGGAACTGAATCCAATATAGGGAAGAATAATTCGAAATATCAGGAGAAGCAGCGTCACAAGGGCACATGAGGGAATTCATTGCTATCTTATCAAATGCACACATAGTAATACTACCTAATCGGTGGGTTTTTAATCCTAAGAAGTATCGCAGTGTTTTGAGAGTTGCAACCAGTTATAAAATTCGATGATTATAATATGAACTTAGTGCCTTGGAGATAGAGCTTTTTGTCCGTATGATAATGAGTGCCAGCTATTCCCCACCTAGAACACTCTTCACAATTCAGGAGCATGCCAACTGATGGGCGATAAGTAACGGAGGTGAAGAATAATTGTTCAACTAAATGTCAGAGTTATTTATTTATTCGCCATCAGGACCAGTTGATGCAGTCCGTGGTCTTTTCCTTGCATTTATAACTGATCGCCCTAATAGCCGCGGGAAACGAAATTTACTTTTTATTGGCAACAAAGACACCTCTTGAGGACCCTCTTGCACTGCCCGGAGCACTTATATTCACTCGTCAAAACATGGAATTCAAATACACAAAACATGATGTTATATTGCTGCGTCACAACGGATGCTTCCCAAACGTACCTGAAAATTCACCAGTACCAAGAGCTGCAAAACAATGATTTTGGAGTTTTCGTCCGAGAGGACATAAGATGTTCCCCATCTTGGTAGACCAATATTAATGACTCTAAAGTAAATCACACTAATTAAATGTTTTTGACTATTTGAAACAGAACTGACCTCCCGTTTAACATGAATATAAATTAGACTGCACGCCATTTACATTAAAAATCCACTGGTAGACAGCTCCAAAGTGTAAAAGAAGAAAACACCTTATATTTCCACCAATCTTTGCCTATGCGGCTCCAAGATGATTAATTACAAGTTGAAGGAACATTACAGAAGCTGAACAAAAACAGCATAATAACAATTGCTATCGTGTACCGGTGGGGGTGGGGGGAGATAACAAAATATTTTTTTTTGATTGTATACAACACACAGTTTTCAACTGTTTCAACTGTTTATCTTGGGGATTTCAAACATGAGAAGATGTATTCACGCCACTGACTTCGATTTAATGTCATTTGCTGCAGTTCCCTCAGCCAAACACAAACTGAATCTTAAAAGGTTGTGCCCAACCTGGAGGCTCCGACGGAAACCAGATCCGAACACAATTCGTTAAACCCTCTATGCCACATCAAAGCTTGTCCATCTCCCTTTTTCTTCCAGTCCGGTCAAATTGCTACAAATAGTGCACACAGAGGCAGAAGTTGCTCAGGCTTTCTTAGAACGTGCCCTAGACACCGCCAGAGGGTGCTATGAAATGATTTTGCTCAACAGAGATTAGTCAGACCCTAACACACGTCGTCTGACCTAATCGTTACTCACACGACGTTGCGCAGACTAGAGGTTGTCGAAAGAGGGATAGTCGTTAGAAATGATCTGCTCAGAAATGAAAAGTTTTGCAACCACAAGACGCACTATGGCGCAATGTTTGTATCTGTCCAGAACGAGAGATGTTGCACAATCGCAAACGCCATTCTTAGTTTAATTGATCATCGAAAGATCTCACCGGTGCCTTCACCAGCCGTGAGGGAAATCCCGAAATAGAATATGCTCCTGGTCACTTCAGTGGTGTCACTAATAAAAAGTAAGGGGATAGGATCTTTCTAATCTTGTAGCAACACCTTGCACTTTGATGGTTCAAAGTACATACCATAACGAGCAACCTCATTTGTCAAACGATTCCGCGGATCTCAAACAGCCGGCGCGTTGTCTCCGAGTAAGGGATGACCATTGGTAGTGGTCTACGACTCTGTATATAGAAAGAAGCTCAACGCCAGCGTTCGTTAAGTAACGCTTTTCGCAGATCATCTATGATTTTTCCACACCCGGCTGCTGATTCCATCTTCTTTTTCACGTAGCACCCGCCAGGCCTCGCGGTCAACTTTCAATCTCTTTGTGAGTTCACGGTTCAAAGAGGAGGCAGTGTTCACTATGCTTGCTGTCTGCCGGCATTTCCCGAAGCGCATTAAGAAGGGAGAGGAATAAAACCCAGTGTTTTATAACCGGGGCGGATTATGCCACAACTGAATCGCGATCACTTTGGCTGCTAACAGTAGGCGATGCTTGACCTGCTTCGATCTCAGCCCGGTGATCGTGTAGATGGGCTCGATCACTTCACTCAATCTAACATGATGGTCGGTTTCGACCAAATTAACCGTGATGGTCGTCCCCCCGGGTGTCATCAATCCGCGACTAAGCCAGCCGGGGTAGTGTTCTCGAATGCTTTCGACCAATCGGCGAGTGATACGACCAAAGTAAGTGATTTCACAGGAACACACAACTTGGTCAACGGAGAACGAAGTCATTTCCACCGGTAGCTTGTCATTTATCTGCAATGGGAGCACTGGTTTGAAAGTGTAGATTAGGCGTAAATCAACGGCATAGTATGTATTTCTGACAGCAGCCTGGAGACGCTTACTTATCATTTCAGATAATGTGTCGCCTTTGAAGGCCATATACAAATAACCTAATTTCTTTTTAACCGTCATCTCCGGTTGCACTATTGTGGTGACCTTCATACATTGTCGAATGATCTTATCTCGATATCCTTTTTCTATGAAAGTCTTTCTGATTTTCCTCGGTTCTTCCTTGCATATATCAGGCGAACATATTCGCATTGTCCTGTTCACCCTGCATCGAATCAATGCCTTTTTGCTGTAGAGGTACAAAACTGCGATTATTTGTATACTGTTCTGTCCACGTCTGCAATCGGTGAATGCTATGCCGAAGAGACCCGTTTTTGCGCGCGAGAGTAAAACATCGAGGAACGCCAATCCTCCAGAATATTCCATTTCTAGCTTGAACCCTGTATTGTTATGGGCTTTGTTAAATTGGTTCAACAGAATAGTGAAACTCATTGAGGAATTGACAACACAGAAAATGACATCTGCATAGCATCGATATAATTAATACACATTGTTTTATATGGCCATCCAATACTTCAGTTTCCAATTTCGCCATAAACACATCGGCCAAACGGAGACCTAGGGGCGATCGCATGGCAATCCCGTCCTTCTGGTGGGACGTCACCCCATTGAACTGGACTTGCACATTATACGTGCATAAATGGATTAGGTTGCGAAGATCCTCAATGGGTAAACCGATATTCACATACCTGCGCCCAGTCAGAGGTATGTTGGTGAATAGAGAGGCAGCATCCACAGAAACCATGTGCTTTCCGGATACGTCCAGTGATTCAACAGTGTCCACAAATCCAAAAGTGTTCCTCAGACTGTAAGTCGCTAGCCCCCTTCTGATGGACTCCAAGATTTCAGTTAACCGTTTCTCTATTTTGTGGTAAGATGAATTGTACATTTCCAGTATTGGCCGCATCTCTGTTTGTATAGTTTTGGTAGACCGTAGAGTCTTGGCCTATGTACCCAATGGTCTTCTTCTTTTAAAAGCGCCGGAGTTTTTTTATCCCGTTTTGTTTCAGTTGCCTAACGGATTCTCCATGGCGGCCGTACTCTTTTTCTCCATCAATTTTAGTAAAGTTACTCGTGTCTCGTAATAACAGTTCCATTTTGTTCGGTCGATCAGAGCTCTGGATTTACCATGGCCAACCATAAACGCTAGAGTGACATAAAGCCAGTTATCAAGTGAGTGTCAAATCGTTTTTTGTGTTTGATTTATTCGACAGTAAAAATGACATTTACAAAATTATTTGAACTCTCATACACCCCTTGCTGTATTATTCATAGTATCCCTACACACGCACATAAACACAGACACTACGTACGTTTTTTCCTCTTTCTGTTTCCTTGAATTGTGTGATTTTGTGACCTACAAAAGAGTGTTGTATTGGGCTAGTAAATGAGGCACCGAAAACGAGCTTGTTTGCTAAATTGACTTCTCGATGCAGTCTAAGGGGTATTTTCCAGTATACCACAACTGTGCAAACTAGCTGAGTACGTCATGTTTTTGATGGTTGTCTGGTGTTTGTTGTTCGACAGTACTTGGTGGGGCAGTAGTTAACCTCGCTAAAAACTGTTTTTTCTAGTCTCTCAGCACGGCTGGACCGGAAAGCTTGACAATACTAAGTTCATTTCATCCATTAGTTGTACGAACACCATAATCGCACAGATAACTTACCACTGACCAGTGCGTGGTCAGAGTTCAAACAGGTACACCAGCACGAATAATAGACTATTTGCACACTCTCCATCTACAGTTCAATACTCTGTGATGAATCTGGGTTCACATCAGTTCGTAGGCAGGCCTGCCCGAAGTGGTTAAGTGATACCTTGAGTGTGTACAAATTTGGTGCCGGCGAGGTGCAGATTATATTCGGAACATATGCATATGGAAATTCGATCTGCATATTCAGAGTAACAGGCACCAAGGCGATGATGACCACAAAGGTCAGGCTAACCTAACTAGAGACGGTAAACGAATACATTTAGGTCTCTGGTCATACACCTCTTGGGTTGTTTGAAAAGAAGCTCATGTAGACTATCCGGGAAGCTGCCTCTATATCTGTATCCGGGTTACAGTCTCATGGAGTACATACAGAAACAAAGAATAAGTACCATTCTGCTTGTTGATTTCATGTGGAACGCAGAGTTTCACTGTGCATAGTAGACTGTCTACAGGGATCGCCGTTGAACTGGTACGAGGGGTTGAGGGTGGGAGGGAAGGAGGTTGTCCTTTCGTCCCGATTACGGTTTCCATCCGTTCTCCGGTCGCGGCGTGACCTTTTATTTGCGTCATTTGATCCTTCAGTTGCATTGGTGTGTATACGTGATCCAGTTCGATGTGCCCGCTTATTGAGTTGATTGAAGAGTGCCAGGCCTCGAGAAATTCCCCTGCATATGTTGACCGGGCTTGATCGATAATTCTCACTGATATGAAATCAAATTGATGATGAAACGTTTGCAAACAAATTGCCAAGCTCCACAAACAGGTGAAATGAAATACCAAACCCTGTTTGACGAAAAATTAACGCAACAAGGTTCCCGGAAAGACACAGGTGAACCAGTGCTTTTGGGTTAGAGGGCGATTTTAATCGGATTGCTGTTCCCGAATACTGAATATGATGACGACACGCAAAACACAGCAATCTATCGTCTTTAGAGTGTACGAGCCAAAGTTGCTTTTGATCCTATACGTACTCATACTCTCATGTTGAAGGAAGCCGGTATAAAAATAGAATGGCTATTTTGGCCCACCAGTTTTCGCTATCTTACTTAAGACTTATCCCGAGAGCTCCAATGTATTAGGCGAACTTCGGGCTAGGTCCCGCGAGCACAGTATGCTGTTGAATTCATTGCATGTCTGATTTGATCCCATTGTTGGTCTCCTCCACAACAATTGGCTGCTCTACACTTACATGCTCTCCGTCACGTTGAGGGAATTTTCACATTTTCACTCACCATCACGCGTCGTCGTTACTCACGGGATGATAGTATGTGTTTCACATGTGCCAGGACATTCTTCGATGGTTTAGCGGTTTGTGCGACTCCATTTTCTCACTGTCCAGACTAGACCAAAAAACGCAAGCTTGCAGGATGGTAAGTTGCCCTTAATTGCACCCCTCTGTCAAGGATGACTGTCCCGTCATTGGTCAACACTAGCACTCGGTCCCTGTTCTCCAAAGTGTCGAATTTAACTATATCAAGAATTCATACGAACACGTGTGCAGTCTGTGTTCAAGAGTCCTGGTTGAATAACGACGTAGATGACTCTCTATTGTCAATAGACGGCTTTCACGTTTACCGACAGGATTATGGAACCGGAGGAAAAAAGACCGGAGGGAGTGTTGCCCATATGTCAATGTTTCCTGGTGTGGCAAGTTCCATGTTATTTTTCGGTACTGCTCTAAAGATATTGAGTGCCTAACTATACAGTGTCACCCTAGACTCTCCCATTTTACTCACACAATTGTGACTAACTTGTATATAGCCCCTTTCTGTACACAGTCCCATCTTCGACTCGTTCATAACTTTTATTGCCCCACTTTTAGAAGTTAACCTGCATACAATCGACGGTGACTTCCACCATACTAGAACTTATCCACTTTTATCATTGGGTATGACAGATCTTTGTCATTCTCCCACAAGAGGTAACTCTATACAAGACATAGTAATTATCAACCACCTAACCCTTTTTTCTCTAGCACTAAAAGCACCTATTTCCTCCAGTGACTATTGCTTACTCTTAGTTCGACCTAGAATTATTCGCACAGTGCATACCAATCTTTCTCCCGATCTGAGCATAACCGATTTCTTTTTCGTAACTTCTCACCTGCACGTGTTTCTCTCCTGAATGAATCGCTCAGACAACCTTCCCGATGGTTTTCATCATCTTCTTCTCTGCTCACATGTGTCCCCCCATTCACCCCAACAATCAATGCCATTTTTAATTACTGCTGTCTTGCTCAAAGTCTCTGTGTCCAACGGAAGGATAAACTCTCCTCTAATGAAGTCGCTGCGACAACAAAAGGACCGTGCGTACAAGTCTCACAATGCTCCAGCTATCAAGTATTTGTCCAGGCTTATCAAAGCTGAAGTAAATAGATTGAACGCATTATTCTCTGATTAAATTCTGAGGACTGGAAACAGCAAACATCTGTGGCAAGGTATGTGACTTCTCTGTGGAAGGAAGAAAGAACGGTCGAAAGTAGATGTGAACGTTGATGATCTCAATGCCGCATTCCTGCGCCAGTCATCGGACATTCTTCCTGCCTATTCGTTACAAAATGTTTGTAACGTGGAGCCAGTCTCATATCGTGATGTGTTAAAACTTCTAAAAAGTTGTGATTCGTTTTCTGCTGCAGTCTCAGATGACTTACATCCAGCCTTCTTCAAATTTGTTGCTGCTTCCCTAGATGGGACAATTACCTCCATTGTCAAAGAATCTCTTAATTCTTCTACTATCCATGACTGTTAGAGGCTGGTCACAGTCATACTAATCCCAAAAGCATCCAAATCCTCTATCCTCTCCAAACGTTTTCGCCCCGTAGCATTAGCATCTTCAGCTCTAAACTTGACTGGAAAGACCATCCTCAAACGTCTTCAGTAGTCTATAAACATTCCCAGTGATCCGTTACAGTTTGCTTGCAAGCCTAATAGATCCACCTTAGACGCAGTCTCCACCCTCATTCATTTTATCACTAAGTCTTTGAACCGCTCTGTTAAGTCTGTTCGATTTTTTTTTTTCTGGACTTCTCTTCTGCATCTGATTCCATTCCTCGATATAATTTGTTACAAAAACTGGAATCTTTTGAATGGCCCAAGCAGCTGTTAACCTGATTATTCAATTATTTTATTGATAGAATACAAACCATTAGATTGGGGAAGGCCACATCGAAACCCTTAGTCAAAAACTCCGGGGTTCTTCAAGGAGCTGTGCTATCCCCATACTTATTTTCCACTTATATTTGTGATATTCCCTATGTTTCTCCCGCACGAATTTTGAAATATGCAGATGACGCCGTGTTGTGCCAGACCATTTTTTTCTTACTCTGATCTAGGTTTTTTCACCGATAATCTTGATCAAATTCAGTCATTCTCCTCCTCTTCGGGACTAACCCTGAATCCCAGTAAATGTGTTGAGTGTTTACATAGTTATGCTCGCTCTGCAAATCCGACAGACGCCACAATGGTTATTAACAATCCTTTATCCAGGTTGAACTCCGTCAAATAGCTTGGTGTAACCATAGATAGCAATCTTCATTGGCTAACTCACATCCACAACTGCATTGGTAAACTGCGACGCCCTTCATTTCAAATACGAAAGCTCAGGCAGGTTTGTGCATTCCAGTCAATTATTTCTACCTTAGTTTATCTGTGTTTTCCTCATCTTACTCTACTGTTCCCCGGTTATTTTTCCTGGTTTACTCAAACTGAATTTTAAAGTCTTACGCCACGGTCTAACCATTATTAATCGTGTCTCTTCTATTCTTGCGAATGACTTAGCCTTAAAGCTTTCAGAGTATCATGTAACTTTCTGTGTGAAATTGGCTGAGAGGATTCTCACAGATCCTGATCACCCATTGCACGCAGCACTGACACGATGTCTTTCCCATCATTCAACACACCTCCAATTCAACCAAATTTCATCTCGAATTAACGCTTACCGCAATTCAACTATACCGTATCTCGTTCGTCTACTCAGAAACAAAGAGTGAACTTTGTCTTAACCTTGAGTTATGAAATATCCTCATTTCTGTGAAAAAATTTTCATAGTTTGCTATGCACATTGTGACGGTTAGCGTGTATGATTTTTTAACTGAAATATGAGCTCCAGTGCATGCAAAAGTTATACACAATACAATACAGTAATCCACCATGTCGTGGTGCTCTTGCTCGTGTCCCAGTTTCTCCTCGTAACCTGCGCAGACGATGATGGTCCAACGGAGAATGTGATTTACGCTGATGAGCGATGAGTGAAGCTTAATAGAACTAGTGCATGATCCGACTCAACACACGTGGTCCAGTAGGATCTGCAATTTTGTACTGAACCACACCACCAGCTAACAGCTAGGTGGTTAAGTTCAGTCAACTGTCCCGTTGAACTAGAACATCAAGTTGCCGTTTGACAAGAGCTACGTCGAAAGTTAATGCCGATAAGAACAACCAGTGATCCACACTGAACTGAAGTAGTCGTTCGCCGTAGTATGTTCGCTCGGCGGACAAAGCAAATTGTCCCCTTACACATGCTTCGAATGCGCTCAATCTTCAGAGTTGCGCGTTAAACTCACCTGCCAGCACAATATAACATCAAAGCTGCGGCTCAACCGAATGAGCTCAGTGAGTTTGTCGTATAANCGTATAATTTTTCCTTTATGAAGTGGTACTGCAGTTGGTCGGCGCATATGCGGAAATCTTTTAGTTTTGTTGCCCTTCCGAACACTAACCGAACCCTGGAGTTTCATTGCGTACAAACGACTATTGAAGGATATCCAATCAAGTAGTGAGGCTTCAGCTTTATTGTTTAGCACGACAGTTACATCACGCGGACTCAGTGAACGGGCTTCATAATTCTCCGGATGTACAAAGGAAATATCTCGAGGACAGATCCGGCGCACGTGTGTTTTTGATACACAACAACCATCAAATTCCAAAGACTTCATTGTGCCCACAAGACAAACTCGTTGACCCACCTGCATCAGTTGACGAGGCTTCAAAATCTGCACCTTATTTACTGGTAAACTACTTAGTGTGCTATTTGACAACGATCTTGGCCGGGTGACGAACGAGTTGGTTGATGGGAATTTACGGATCGGATGAAGGGCAAAGGCAGAGGGGTGGGAATAGAAGAGAGAGAGTTAAGCAAAGGTTGGGATGTCTGAGCAGAAGTCCACTTATCACTATCCACCCCGCTCGATACCCTGTGCGAAGACCGATAAAGAGTGGAACTATTTTCAGTTGGTGTGTTCATTGGAGCTTTATGGATGACTATTGCCAGGGATTCCAACCACTAAACAAAGAAGGATAAGGGTTCGCAACCAAAGCCTTTACTTCTGACAAGAACCTAACCGCAAAGTAGCGAGTGAAGCGGAGTTAAGGTCCGTTTACCTAGATCAATTACTACTTCAACACTTTTCACCGACTGAGACGCCAACTCTAGTCAAACCTCTAACCTGAAAGACCAAGAGACTGAATCTGTTTGACCTTTTCCCATTGAACCTCCAGGCATGATTAGATCTTTGGTTCAACAAAAGATATCCTGTGTAGTTCATTGGGTTACAGAGGAGCAAGAGCCATCACACCACGCCCAGGTGCAATCTCATCCTGATGGCCTTGAAGCTTTAATGATCGCTGGTACGTTTGATGCGGACAATAATCGGATAATGGGGTTAGAGCCTTGAATGTGAGTCTCTTGGATACAACACAAGTCTACGGTTGGGATCTCGAGCGTACAAGGTAAACACGCTTGTTGTTCCATACGCATCAGAGTAGGTACGTTAAACGTGGCTAGTTTTAAACGGTATGAAAGGACTAAGAAGAGCTTGATCTGGTGGAAGATTCAGTAAGACTTCTGAACGACATTCAAGGTAGAACGCGAGAGAATTTCCATCAAAAGCACTACTGTTAGTACGATCGACTGAAGAACCCGGTAGAAATGAAGATATCAGACGGTGTGAAGGTAAAGGGAAACATAAAGGCGTGCACGCTGTAGAATGGTTTATATCATCACTATTATTAGATTAATTTCGGTGTGTCACGTTGTTCGACTCAGATAGTGAACTTCGGAGACCTGTTCGGAATTGCGCCCCCATGAGGCTTGTTAATTACTATACGTAATTAGATGTTTCTTCCCCTGTGTCCATTAGACTACTCATGAGTACCATACAGTGTTTATTTCCCCAACGGTTAGACTTCCGTTTTTTGTGTACCCCAGGGCGTCTATAGTCATAAAATTTATATATTCTGCTAGCGTATTTACCGGACCTTTATAGCTGTGATTTCTAACTGTTAATTCCCAAGGTTGCAGTTCCTCATTGGCATGAAAGTTTTCTGAGCGTTTGTTCTGCGAGCAGAAAACTCCACCGGCAGGGCTCGAACCGCAGACCGACCCGTGGTCAAGACACTGGCCAGGGGGTTGTTTACTGATTTTGTCAATGCTGCCCTTTGATAGGCATATCTGCGATTAACACCGCCTCTTCGTGTCGCATTCAGACTTGCTAGCATTTACTACGTTTCACCCCAATCCATTGTAATTCCCTTCTCTGTCGTTTTATTCAGGAACTAAACTGTATTGTAAGCCTTTTCCATACCGTACCGAAACCTCTCCCAATTCGAATTTCACTGCTGCGCTACTGTTACGCTTAACTGCCTGCCGGGTAGACCTTGTTCCTACCATTGTTGTCACGAACTGTCACTGCTGCCCTGTAATTTGGTTGCTCATCTGGCTGTAATTTACTTTTTATGCTTTATTATTACTGTATGATTTTAGAACCACGATTATTGCCACTGTCGATAAACACTGGTATTTTAATGGACTTCGTTCTGCTGCCCGTAGCCGTGTTCTGCCCATATCGTGCGTATTGCTATCGAAACCAAGTTACCGAGGAATTTCAGTCTGCGAAGGCGTGACAGCACAAGGCTTTTAATTCGAGTGTGATTGATTTGGAATCAGGGTTTGTAACCGACTGCCCTAGACTGAGTACCAATGTTCGAGCAACACGGTGGAAAATGTCGGGTATTCGCGTCTGATCACTCAGTTTTGTGGTAACACCTCTGACCAGAAAAGGCAGTGGCCGGGAATTTCTCCGCAGAAGCTAATTGAGATGGTTGATATTCTGGGAGCACCTGTAGTCATCTCGGAGTCCAAGATACTCACTTCCGATCAGACTGAGACACTCAGAAGCAGAGAATAACAATCAAAATGATCGAAAGAACCAAAATCCTCGACTGGAAATGTGTGACTCCACTCACCGCCGACATTAGGGAGATGGCAAATCAAATATTGCTTCAACTTGCTCATCTCTATCAGACAATGCAGGCACCATCGATAATAAATGATCATTTCAGAGGACATCCTTCCCTCCTTCCTCCCCCAAAGAAAAAACGAAGTAACATTATCGGTGTCATAGTACGCACCACATGGAACCCTCTACTATCTCAAGCTGTCGTTTCAGTTACGGCCCAACTATCCAACTAACCCGTGAGTGGATTATTGATTATTTAATCTATACTGCCATTCGAACACAATAGGAAAAGTCCGTAGGGGATTCAATAAGTTTCACGTTTGTAATAGATCAGTATTAAAGTTTGACTTTGATCACTTACAACGAGTAACATCGGTTATTCTTGTCACGGATCAGGTCTTAATGATTGCTGCTTTTCATCTGTTCTATTCTGCAAATGANAACAGGTAATACTTGCACCACATATCGGTATCTGTATTAAATGAATTCAATAAGCACAAATTTGTTTCCGACTGAGAAAAAAGAGTCATTTGGTCAATTATACACATGATGAAGGAAAAAGATAATCACCCTGAGGAGACAAACAAAAAGAAAATGGGTCCAATATAAAGAAGCAAAGAAAAATACAAAAAATGCGTGATTCGCATTCACCCTGAGAAAGGGTCAAAAAGAAAGTAAACAGAGGAAAATGCGAAGCGCGAGTGGAACGAAGAGGATTGGCCCGGGGGAAGGGGGTTCAGAGGATCACATCCGGAATACCCCGAAACGAGTTGGAGGAAAAGGTTGTGGTGCATTATAGGATACGGACAAGCCTAGACCCAGCACCGTGCGTGTGTCCACCGGATCGATCACTCCGTCATCCCACAAACGTGCACTGGAGTAGTACGGATGTCCTTCCCGTTCGTACTTCTCGATAATTGGGATGCGAATGCGCTGGACTTCTTCTTCTGTCAGCTGATAAAATGAGGAGATAAGGTAAGAACAATAAAACGAGACGATCAGAAAAAAAGGATGTGCAAATATGCGAGTCAGCACAGCCGAGTCTAGCTAACCTCTAAATTTTTAAATTCCTAGGTTCATCAGAAATTAATGAGTGCCATAACGAGATGTAGCGGTAGTCAACTTGTTAAGGTTACCAAAATAGCCACCTGGATGCGCTGAGTTCGAGCCCCGTCATCACCATCCATTTTCCGCATTTCTGTATTTCCCCAGACAGTCTTTCTATGGCCGCCCCCCCCCCTTCCTGAAAGTTGACTGTACATTCGTATACTAAATAAACAAAAAAGAAGTTTAAACATGCACTTATGCCTTTTTTCAAGATGACTCGAAACAGGATACCGTGCAAACGATTCAGAACGCAAATTCATTACACGAATAAAAAAATTGAACTAATGTCGTTTAAATGTGGTGACATGTCAAATCCAACTGACAGGTGAAAAACATCTAACTAGGAAACAAAATTTTTTCACGCAAATTCAATTGAGTGTCCACAATGGATATACCAGGAGTAAAAGGGAGAGTCTAAATCGAGACACTATGATCAGAGACCGAGTACTAATCCTCCCCGTGCTAAAATAGTTTGTGAAAATCAGACTGCTCTGCTAAAAAATCACAAGAAGAGCGCGGTTGCTATCGTTCTACTCCCGGAATAGAAACATTTCACGAGAAAAGGAAATAGGCAATAGACTTGAAGCACTTTGTCACGGTATAAACGATCTTCCGACTCCATCATGTCAATATTTAGATGACGGAAAAAGTCGACCGCATTTAATCTTAGCTTTAAACCAAGTACCGTCGGTATGCCGTTTTGCAAAAGCAATCTGAAGACACGAAGGATTACCGTGTTAGCTGCACCTGTTTGTGAATAAACATACAACTTAATAAGCCTACTCCGAAGCGTGCTAGTTTTCTCCAGGTACCAAGTCAATATAAACAGTCCGGGGGTGTATTGCTCAATGTTTTGTTAGGGATTAAATTAGACGGGAATGGCAAAATAGGGCTCCTTCAACAAATACCCCCACTGGTTAGCAGACGAACACTTGGATTGTAGATATCGTAGTATTGGGTTGAGAGCATGTGAGCGGTTGATAAACGCCCTGCGTTCCCGTGGGAATAGGAATGCCGAAATTGCCAGACAGACATCCTCGTGTGATACACTCACATCACTTGTCTGGATGAACAGACATCGGCCGAGAGCATAAATATACCGAAACTTTGAAACGATGAAATAAATTCATTAAATATTTATAGGAGGACGGTTACATTTGAAAATCTATTTGATGCTTGGAAAATGTTTCGGATGAGAGGTTACGAGTGAAAACGTTAGCTTCTTCAGGGAAGCTCCGGACTACAGGAGACTTCGATCGATTTCTCCATATTCGGTTTTGCAGAATTGGCGATTTTTCGAGCAAAGTCCGATGAGAAATAGAAAATTTTGATTAGATACACTACAGGTAGATCAAAGAGGACATCTCAGCAGTGGTAAATTTCGACTGCGTTGCGTCCATGAGTGACTGCAGTGATTATTTAGATGGCAGTCGAATTTTATTCTGTCCTATGGAGCA